AGAGCAACTTGCTCATCTCTAAGACAGATTTGTAATCGAAATCCTAGACGATATATCGAGGTAGCAGGTTGTTAGCCAAATTTACAATGGATAAGGATTCCGATTCCACGGTCACCTCATTGGACGAAAATACGGAAAACTTCTGCACAAATCCCACACGCGATATTCTGGCCGCTGGCATCACAAATCTTTTCAAGCCCACCATCGAAAAGCTCGACGAACGCGTCGCATCAACCATACAACTGCAATCGGAGCTGCGTGGGCAGTTGGATGCACTTGCTGCCCAGCTGCGGGACATTGAGAAGGCACAGAACCAAATACCCGAGTTCGCCGATAAGGTCAAGGAGTTGTTGAACGTCAAACACAAAGTGACCATTATCAGCAACGTCCTAAGCAACAGCCAGGAGCGTTTGACAGGTCTGCATCGGCTCATCGAAAAGGAACAGCGGAGGCGAAAGGCGTTGCTCGACTCGGCTCTGACCACCAACATATCATAGACATGGAGACGCCACACACCGAACATCTCTCCTCTGCCGACTATGAGCACGTCTATGAGCCGGCGGAGGATTCATTTTTGTTGCTTGATGCCTTGGAAGCGGATTTGGAGTTTCTGGACACACTGCAGCCACGTCTGTGCCTCGAGATTGGCTCTGGCAGCGGCGTTATCATCACCGCACTGGCCAAGCGCCTAGCCAACACCGCCCACTGCTTGGCCACGGACATCAATCCCAAGGCATGCGAGGCCACGAAGCGGACAGCGATCCGGAACGGAGCTCGACTGGATAGCTTGCGTTGTAATCTGACGAGCGCACTGCGTCGACGCTGCATAGATTTGCTGCTCTTTAATCCGCCTTATGTGGTAACCAGCGATGAGGAGCTACAAACTCAACAACTGACAGAAAAACCCGCGACGGAGCGCAATTTGGTCTTTTCCTGGGCAGGCGGTACAGATGGACGGCGTGTGACTGATATTTTATTGGAGCAATTGGATGACATACTCTCGCCCAGTGGCGTACTCTATTTGCTGCTGCTGCACGAGAATAAACCTGGTGAAATAATCGAACAGTTGAGGCGGCAAAATTTCGAGGCTGTCAAATATATGGAACGACGCATTCCAGGGGAACATTTGTATATATTAAAAGTCAAGAGATTTGCAAACTAATTATATATGTGTATATAAAATTATATTTGAAGAACAAATTAAAAACTTTGAGCTTAGCTTGATTTGGGGGTTTGGGTCTTGACTAAATTAATAAATTTAATTATCGATAGTTCGTATTGTGTTGCTATACAAGTATTCATGAAATTCAAAAACAACTAATATTGAAATAGTTAAAAACATGTAAAGTAGACCTAAAATTAATTTTGAACTTAGCTTACTCGTGGTTTAAGTATTGACTAAATGATTGTATTAAATTATCGATAATTACATATGCGCTGTTATGTTTGAAACAATGCAAATGATTCATTGCTGATATTCATGTACATATATATGTAGATAGTTAATAATTGAATTGATACGCCATACGGCCCTAATTGAAACTGGAAAATACTAGAATGCATTGCGAAGTAATTTTTCAGCTTAATTGGAGTGAGTGAAATCGAGTTTTGAGCTACCCTCTGCATGCAAACCCCAACCCTCATGAAGCTGAAATTGAAAATGTAAAACAAACCGATACGATTACGGCACCAATCAATGAATTATGTATCACAAAATGTACACACACACACACAAACCCACATATGTGCGGAATAGGTGTATATAGACATATAGGAATAACTACCCTTACTCCGGGCTAAGCACCCTTGCTTAATACTCTAAGGGCGGGAGTGGGATTTGAGGTAGAATTTATGCTTCTGCTGCTGCCCCGCCCAATGGAATGAAACAAACGATTTTATTGGCATCTGATAACTGCCAATTGTGTTGTTTTTTTTTACGTAATTTTTCTGTTCACGTAATTACAATAATTTATTTTCTCGATTTTCTGTGGGTATTATTTACTTCTCTTTCACTACGACTGGATTGAAATATTCTTTTCTTTTTTATTTACAAAATTTGCATGTAACATTGTTTCTGGTATCAAATTATTCATATAGAGTATATATATATATATAATATATATGTTATTCATCTGTAAGCCTTTAAATGCTCATTAATATTGCTATATTGTGGTTGGTTGGTTAAATTGGTTGGAAAATTGTTGCAACTCTTATTGATTGTTTAATGGGTTTTGTGTATTTATTCTTTTGCTCGGTCACCAAGTATCAGTCATTATAATTAGAGCGAGTCAATATGTGAAGTGAACCCCGAAACTACTTAATATATATATATATATACGTGTATGTGTTAGTGTATATAACATTAAAAGTTTGTTCATTATTTCATTTTTGTTTTTTTTTTTACAATTTACAAATGAATTAAGTTTTTAGTATTAATTGATTCGCTTTTGCCTTGTTTTTTTTTAATACTGACATTAAATACTCAATTTGTTTATAACTTAGAGAGAAATGTAAATGTTTGTGTGTGGGTGTGTGTGTGTGTGTGTAAATGCTGAAATAAAAGAGAGAAAGAGAAAGAGAGCCCATTGAATGTAGAAATCAAACTTCCCGTTGAGCAATGCGCACAGTGGGCACCAACAGTTGTGAAACCAATACAATTTTTTTTTTTTTTTTCAGATAGAAAATTTCGAGTGTTTTTCTTTTGTTCTTTTTTTTTGTATATTTTTCCATTTTAATTGCATTTGCTTTTTCGATCATTCATAAAATGTAACGTCTAATTTTAATAATCAATTTTTTTTTTCTTTTATTAATTGTTTTCTTCTTTTATTATTTTTAAAGAAATCATGGGTGCATCGATTTCGCCGTCTCTTCTGCTATTTCTTCTTCATCATCATCCGTGATCTGCTTGTCATTACTTATGGATTTTTTAACTTAAGACTTATGACTTAAAGGAAAGAAAGAGTTTGGTTTTTGTGTAGAATTTGTGTTTTTTTTTCTGAGGGGGATGTTTACTTTTTTCGGTTTTTGTTTGCTTACTCGCGCATGGCGAGAATTGTATTTTGTTTATATATATATAAAAAAGTACACATAAAATACAATTAAAATAAAATAAGAAATAGAAAATTATTTCTTAGACATAAGAATTATATACTTTTGCGATTTTTTTGTGTCGTTTTTCTCTGGTTTTTGTTTTTTTGCTTGTAACTTTTTATTTATTATTAATTTAAATTTTTTGTTTGTATTTTTTTCTTGTTTTTTATTTTATTTTTATTTTGTTTTGACTACATTATTATTACGCTTGATCGTCCGAACCGGAACCGTCATCATTGTCATCATCATCATCTGATTGGAAGAAGACGAGAGATTTATCTTAGTTTTGGATTGGATGGTCGGAAAAAGTGTCAATAACTTACCGTCGCATTCAATGTCGTCCTCCTCACCATCGTAGGGTACATCGTATTCGTCGCTCTCGATTTCACTGTCACCCTCGATGAGATCATCTAATACCTCCTCCTCATCGGAGTCGCCATCAGCAGGTTTATCTTTCTTGGCTTTCTTTGATTCGGCGGATTTAGCCTGTAAAGGAAGGAATCAAATTTTAAATCAGTAAAGATTATCGATAACAACACAAAGGATAGCTATTGGTCTTCCATTGGTGGCTGCTGTTTCAGCTGAAACCTTTGGGCGCAAAATTTAAACCCCACACTTCTCCTTGATCAAGGGCAAAGCGTATTGTTGATGGAAACAAAATATGAAGCCAACATACGCATGTTCTCCCAACATGCGTGATTCTTCTGTATGGGTGTGTGTGCGTGTAAATGGTCGTAAAAAGTATATTTTAAGCCCACAAAACAAGAAAATCGCCCTTTACTGGCTAGCAGCAGCAACAGCAGCAACGAAAAATCGTTATTTTCGCCGTAAAAAAGGCATTTGAAAAATGCGCGCGTCAATGGAATTCGCTGCAGCAGCACGCACCGACGAAGGGTGAGAGCGAGAGAGAGTAAGAGAGCAAAGGCGGACGGTTGCCGCATTACAAGTGCAGCTCTCCGCTTACATACAGCAAGCCTACAGACATGTCCGTGTATTTGTATATAAAGCGGCATATTTACTACATAATGGAAAAACAACAATCGAGAGGGCATATGTATCCGCAGCCGTGAGATACAAAACCAGCCAAGCCAAGCGTGCGTTCGACCCACTGTGACCGAAAGCCGAACAGACAAGCTGAACCCGAAGCGAATCAAACCGAAAGAAGAGCAGCGACGCTAACGTCGCTTCAGCTGCTACACGCTAGCCCTAGCATATATGTGTGTGTGCGGAAGAGAGCGTGCTCACAGCGCTGTCGCTGTCAGGGCAGAACTGTACCTGAGAACGCGCGCGTCGTGACAATGGCTGCATGAATGAACGACTCACGCACACACACATACGACAGCTGCCGTAGAAAAAGGCGCAAACGGTTGACCGACGACGACGCCAGCGTCGCTGCTTTGACGTGCGTTCATGTGCGGCTGATGCGTGGGTTCAAAACTCAGTTAACCAACCAACAAGGCAAATACATAAGGCAGTCACGTTCCCATGTAAATGAAAGAAAGCCTGTAATACATAATCATGCCATTGTTTGTATGTGTGCGAAGACATAATTTAACACAGCGATTGTTACAAAGCAGACAAGATAACTGGGAAAATGTGTGCAAAATATGCGGCGCGCTCTCTCAAGCACAACAAAAGCCACGATGAAGTCTAAAATAAAATACTTATGCTACCCACCAAGCATTACAGCAAACAAGCTATAAAACAGGGTCATCCATGATAGAGGTTGTTAGACAATATGTATGATGGTCATTAAAAAGAAAATTCTAGAAGAAACCGACATTAAGGCAAACTAAAAGAAAGTTAGCAATCGGTCGGGTGCGTAACTTTTCTTTTTTATCATATCTGTTAATAGATAATAGCGAATCGTTAATTTATCTATTATTTATGTACGTATGCATTGAAGGCTTATACATACATACAAGAGTTATATGCCATTTATATGATTATTTATTCGAAATATTATAATTATTAAGATCCTGCTCGATAGGTAGCCAATAGATTTCATAATTTCATATTAACATCGGCAGCTTATTTCTATTAAGGAAGTTGCACCACCCTGTAAATGGATTGTTTTTATGAGCGCCCGCCATCCATCCAATACATACATACACCAGTACATACATACATAAATGTACCAAAATAAATACAAGTAAGGCGAAAAAAGTGAAAGATAAATGTAAATGGGCATGCATATGTATATACACAAACAACACATGTCTGTATACAGAATGAGTACATAAGCATTTACACGAACGAAGAGCGGCATTGGTGAGAGAGAGATTAATGTGTTGAAGAGAGCATGAGAGAGGGAGAGTAAAATGACGGCGTTCTCAATGAGAGTACGCGCGCTAGTTAAACTGTACATTTTTATTTTGAGTTTGTGACAAATCAAATGATTTGCTAATTTATGTGATTTATTCTACATATACCTCGTGCCTCTCTGCTTTTGAATATTTTTATGTTTATCAAAATATGTGATTTTTCGATTATGACATAAAAACAAGTGAAAAAAACAGAAGATTGGAATGTTGCGGCAGTCTAAAAAACTGGTTCGCTCTTCCTCTCCTATACACATCTCGCTCACTTATCGCTCTCTCTTTCTCCCTCTATTTCCTTCGTTCGCTCTTGTAACATGGCGGACTGCCGCTGCCTTCGCCGGCCGGCATTGTTTTTAGCTGAGAGTGCAACATTTTGGCTGGCGCGCAATTTGTTGTTTGTGTTATTTGTATTTTGTATTTGTAGCTACCAAATTCGGTAAATACATTCAAATACGACCAATGCTAATCTTAAGAGAGTCGTCAGAAAAGCTATAACAAATTGCATTAAAGAGTATTTAGTATGCACACACTCATAAACTTTGACTGTGTGTGTGTGTGTGTGTGTGTGTGTGTGTGTGTTAGTCGCAAGGCCGCATTGCTAGCGAAGCTTTTAAAGTTTATCTCTTGGCTTTTTGCGTCTTGCTGTTTCCTTGTGTAATGCTAATGACCTATGTATGCCGTATTCCAGTATTCACTTGCTTTGTTTTTTGTTTCTTTTTCGTTTGTACTAAAATTTACGCTCTTTCTCTCTCTCATTCTCTCTATCTTTTATTATCTCCTTGGCCAATAACTGTACCGCCCCTCCACCACATCAGTTCGATTATTAGACATCCTAACCTCGATTTGAACCGAACAACAAATAATCTTTGATTACCGACTCACAATCGTCTTAATTTAATCGTAAACAACAGCATTCACACACACACATCTTTATATGTATATACTCAAACTCTATGATTCGTAGGTAAAATCACAAAGTATTTGTATATAAGTAGATGGCATTGCGCTCTCTCGTTGTGCTCTTTGGCATTCTCTCTTTCACTCTTGTTTCTCAGAGCTTGCTTGCGGCTGCTATCGGCAGCTGAACGTTAGAAAGGCGGCTGAAACTGAAAAACGTGTGTATATCTATTTCTAGAAATTTTTTTCAGTCAGTTTTATTTTTGCCGCCGGATTTTGTAATTTGCTTTTGGTGGTAACAACAAAAATGTATGAATCATTCGCACAAAACGGCAAAATTAGCGCGTAAACAAAAATGCCTGCAACAACAGCAAAGCGTTAATCGATTAAGAAAGCAACGCGTTCGATAATTCGATCGATAAACGCATGACGCGTCGCTGAGAGCGTCAGAAAGAAGAGAATGAAAGATAGTGACAAGTGCCTTCGTTTGTTTTGTTATTAAACAAACGCACAGACACACACACACACCTACAAAGGGAAGCTTGCGACTGATTAGGGTAGATTGTGTGAAACTGTACATGCCGAACTCCAATAGAGTAGAAGATCCCTTTTTTTTACTTTCATGAGAATCTTATTTTAATTAGCGATTTATAGGATACTTACTTCAGCTTGCCTCTTTGTGCCCTTGACGGATCCCTTGGCGGGCGCAGCAGCAGCATCTGCCGCATCGGCACCGTCCTCACCATCCTTGGCCGTGCCGTTATCGGCAGCAGCCGCATCGCCAGCAGCATCGGCGGCCGCTGATTTGTCCTCGGCAACTGATTTGGCTTTGGCTTTGAGATCCTCCTTCACATCGCTGTCGCTGACGGCGGCTACCTTCTCGACGGCAACATCACCGTTATTTTGTTGTTCTGTGGCTGCAGACATTTTGTTGATTTGCTTTTGAACTTGTTTAAAAAACTTGAATATATCTTCTTTTTGTTTTTTTGTACAGTTATATAACGAGCATGCGTCGTTATATTTAGGCTTAAGTTGTAATGATTAATGCGCGGGTGAATTTCAGTATCCGTTCAAGTATTGTATGTATACTACTCCAACGCTTTTGCTTAATGTGATTGCTGTGTGTTCAAGATATTTTTTGGGTTGTTGACAAAAATTAGCGCAAAATAGATTGTTCCGAGGAGGGAAAAAACGAGAACCGCACCGCACGAAGCACACAAACACACTGTCTGAAATGCTGCTACGTCCTGTATATTTAAAAGATACAAGAGCGCATATGCACACAAGGCATACGGCGCCGAACGCGCTGCCTGCTCTCGTTTTTTCTCTCGCTCTCCCTCTCTGTCGTACAGACCGGCCGTGGTTCGCTCGCTTATCATTCGCTCACGCTCAAGCCGCTGTCACTGTTTCCCTCTCTTTCTCACACTCTCTCAATATGTGCTCTCTCGTTCTGTCGTGTATGCAGTACACTGAACAAAAAAGCACGGCGGCATTTGTACAGCAGCAGTTAGCAAAGTAGAGAAGAGAAGGCAACAACAACATTAGGCAGGTAGCGGAGGCGAGAACAAAATAACAAACGCCGCCCCAGCCCCCGTCAGTGCGACCCACCAATAACGCCCGCTGACCGACTCTACAAATAATTTTGCAATAATTTTTTGATAAAATAATAAAATATTTATAATATAGTCTCAATTTTAGCGCGGCTACAAATATACAAATTATTCGTATATGCGTACGCTATTTGGTATATCTGTATGCCTTGTCTGAATATATTTCGGTATTTTGTATTTTTTCTGTTTTCTGACTAACCACCGATATGTGTACCCGTTGACGGCTCGTACAAGACTAAACCTACCATCGCACACGGACCGGCTACAAATTGCAAGCAGTGTGTTCTTGTGCAGCTAAGCATCTTAGATATTTGCTTATTGCTCTTAAATCTTTATTTGGATGGATTCCAAACTTGTGCTAATCGTTAGAATAAACACTCCTCTTTCATTGGGTATCACATGGATGCAGTTACGATCAAGCTGAATTCCAAAATTGACACCTCGAGTGGGTTTCTTGACGAATCCCATACAAAATGCGCTTGATGCTCGTGAGTGAGTACAGGCACAGCCAACGGCGACGTCGACAGCATGTTTGGCGGTAAATTTGAAAATTGCCGGCCGCGGCGGTTGGCTTGCCCGTTACGATTCTTGTTGGTGGTTGTTGTACGCCATGGAGGGCTGCTTGATGTGGCGACGTCGGCGGCAGGGGCTTGGAGCTGGGCAGCTTACTGGCTGGCTGGATTGCTTGTTGGCTGTCTGGTTGGTGGGGAGGGCCTACACGGCAGTTGTATGGGCAGCAACAGCAGTATCAGCGACTGCGACGGTGGCAGAGGCAGAGGCTGGCCGGGCAACTTTGGCGTTCTGTCGCCGCGTCAGTTGCGCGTCTGTGGCGTGTATATGTTCTGGCTGTTGGATTGCATACTCAGCGGCAGTGTGTGTTTGGCTTATTGTTTGTGCCACAACATATTTATAGAGTGGACCTAAAATCATGCGAGTAATCAGGTCAATTGGACGACTGAAGATATCTAATGCCCATCATCAAGTTTTTCTAAACTAAGAGAATATACTATAAATATGTTTATTTCTAAATATGAGCCAGATGTTAAATTAACTTTCAAAATTGCGAATTGCAACGAGCTGTTAATATACAAAGATACATTCATTTGCATTACTCTGAATTACATTTGAACAAGGTTCACCCCGTTTGTCGTATTTTTTTATACATGTGTGTGTATCTGTGTGTCTTTTTTGTGAGCACTTTGCATCTTTCATTTCTTTTCAGTTGATCCCACACACATTTGATGGTTCGACAATTTGCTGTCTCTGTTCATTACACGAACCACTCTGGTTCAGGAATTGACTAATGAGCTAACGTTCTTCTACGCTCTATTGTCGCTTAGCTAGCCTCTCTCTCTCTCTCTCTCTCTTTGCCTCTGTCTCCTCTTTGTCTCGTTCTCTACGCTTTACTTATTGAACTACTGCTGCTACTAGGCTGACACAGTCGACGTTATTCTGCTATTTTTATGCAAAACAAATAAGTATAGTTTGTAATCTGAATAATATGAGAGCCGCACACAAAACGTTAATTAAAAGCGACGCCACGTTCTCCACGCGAATTGGTTGGATGACAGTCGTCTATGGGTCGCATCTACCAGTTTCTAGCGCTCTCCAGCACGCCACATTCAGCACACCTGTAATCGTGGAACAATCATATTGAGTTATCATATTTAAACAGCGTAGCAGCAGCAGCAGCAGCAGCAGCTACTCGTCGTTCCACGGCAAACAACATTTGTGATTTTGCTTGCTTTTGTTTTTGAGCCTTAACATTTCTCGATAAGCCGATTTGCGTCTTCGTTTGTATTTTTGTTTTTGTCTTATTTCTCTCTTACCCCCTTTTTGGAGCCCGAGGGTCTTGTTAGTGTAAGTTTTATCAGTGCTTAAAGCTATTGTATCAATTATACGATTCATGAACTCAGGAAAGCTGTACGGTTTACCCGGTTCCATTTTTTCCCTGTGTGACCACAAGTTTTCAAGGTTAACTCTAGAGGCAATACAATAAAACTAAAGACCCATATTCCTGCCGGTCAACTGTTGGCGGGTTCAGAGAATTGCGATAAGAAAGGTGCAATCGTTTACATTCAGGCAACGACGACGGGGAGGAAAATTCTAGAGGTAGTTAAAAAAAAAGAAAAAGAAAATATTTTTCTCAGGTAATCGCAACTATGCTTTGACTAGAAAGAGATAGCAATAGACATGACAGTTGAAAGTCCTTTACAATGTATGTATGTATACATACATATGTATTTCATTTTAAACTTTTTAGTTGCTTAAACTTTTTGCGCAGTGTATGACCGACCACATTGCGTCTGTTTGCTGTAGCATGCAACGAAAAGGTGTTAATCAAAGCAATCGATTCTTTTATAAGCGTTTTTGCTGCTTATATGTACATATATACATATGTTTGTATGTGTTTGCGCTGTTTAAGAAAATTGTAAAGATTTTGATTAAGATTTGCTGATAGTAAATCTACATATGTATATATAATAAACTTGTATATATGTATATATGTATGTACATATGTATATAATATAAATCCTTTACTCAAATTAGTATTCAGAGCAAATGTAAGTGGACTTTGAGTAAAACACATACAAATGATTTTACTTATGAAAATTTAAGGTGAGAAAATTATGAAAAACTTGCAAAGTAATATATGATATAAAATATGTACATATGTATGTATGTGTACATACTGTCATACATATATGTACATATGCATATAGACAATTTATTTTTGCCTGGCGTGCAGTTTATTATACATATGTATGCATATGCAATTGAATTTATTCTTTAGTTGAGGTAATACATTGTTTCATGAGAATACCCTATAATGTGCACAGCATCTGGAGAGTCATTGTGGCCGATTCATTTCAGAGTTCATTTCACTTAGAATTGTTTGTGTGAAGAGTAGAAAAGAACTAAAAATCATGAACTGGTTTGGTCGAAGCGAGCCAGAGAGCCACAACCGAGGGCAACTTCGACTACTGCTGGGGAGAGCTACTCTGATAAGCGTCGCTATATGGAATTCACAAAGCGAAATGATAGCTGCTGTTCCTCTGTAGTATTATTATTATTATTATTATTTAGACGTCGCTGCGGTTGCTCAAGTCGCGTTTCGCTAGCATGTGCGAATGCTTAATGTTTCCACACGAGTGCAGCGATTAGCTGAATACCCTACGTTCGGAGAGAGTGACTGAGTGAGAGAGATAGAGATAGATAGCGAGAGAGCCTACGTCAGCGGACATTTCACACGCAAATATTCAATTTACTTTGACGGTTTCGATTCAGTATCGAGAATACATGACCCAAGTATGTGTTATCATTCTGCCATGGAGCTTATTGTTTTCATTCTTTGGCGATTGCTTTGATTGTGCAGAGCGACACGACGCCCCCTCACCTCCTTTAAACAGTGTCACTTGACGCATTGGCTCGGGATCGGCAGCGCCAGCGACAGTGGACTGAGAGTCTCAACTGCAACGCATTCGCATAGGCCTCTTCTGCCTGCGTCGCTTGTTGTTGCCTTGCTTTTGTGTTGGCATCTGCGTCATGCATTTGGCTGCAATGGGAACGTTTTGCAGTGTGGTGATGGACAACGGGGGTTGGGCGGTGGTGTCGGTGGTGGTGCTGCTTCTGCTGTCGTTGTTGTTGGTGGTGGTAGTTGTACCGACCCGGCGATTGGGTGAGCACATGAATGAATCATTTGCGAAGAGCAAATGTTGGCGTCATTTCATATCTAGTTGTGTGTATCCATGTGAGAGAAGAAAAAATCTACACCAACTGTGCACAATTGCCTTAGAGAGCTGCGTTGTCATGTCATACCCATTCATTTATTCAATACATAATTACTCACACACACATACGTACAAATATACTCACTGACAACAAAGTCGTTTGGGAAATTTACATAGAAATAAATACATACATATGTATTCATAAGATATATGTATGTGCATTCAAAAATGTGTTAGCTACGTTAGTTAATAGTAAGTTGCGCATTTTTCTTGATTAATTAATTTTTACGCTTGCTTAAAAATGTTTCTAAAGAATTGAATCTTCCGCCAACTCAAATGAAATAAGCCTTCATATTGTTTTGCAGCACTGCACTGCTCATCGTTGTTCAACACAGTTGCCAGTGCTGCGTGCGATATGCACAGCAAATGGCTAAATTCCAATTGGAGGCAATTCAAACTAGCCTAAGCGCTTGCCAGTAATTCAATCTACCGAGAATCTTATTAACCTTATTCTAAAACCCTTTGTAGCTTATTAAAGACGGGACTTCGTGGTTGCGGCATTGTCTGGCGCGCATTGGCAACCCTAATCAAGCTACCCGCTTAATGACCTTGCGCTGACATTGCCGCACAGCTGTGGGTCAAGTCGCATTCGCACAAACGAAGTCTATCCAGAAGTTTGTTAGATACAATTTGACAAGCATCAAAATGGCCTTCAATAAGCTGAGCATCGAGAATCTGGAACTGGAGGGCAAGCGCGTCCTTATGCGGTAGGTTTCCTGATGATGATGAATCTTATATGGTGATCTGCATCCATGAGCTGACTGTTGCATAAAAGAAATTTTTTCTGTATTTCTCCTGTTCGCCCTCAGTGTGGACTTCAATGTTCCCATCAAGGAGGGCAAGATCACGAGTAACCAGCGCATCGTGGCTGCTCTGGACAGCATCAAGCTGGCCTTGTCTAAGAAGGCTAAGTCTGTGGTGCTCATGTCCCATCTGGGTCGTCCCGATGGCAACAAGAATCTGAAGTACACCCTGGCGCCCGTCGCCGAGGAGCTGACCAAATTGCTTGGCCAGAAAGTCATCTTTCTGGATGATTGTGTCGGCCCCGCCGTGGAGGCTGCCTGCCAGGATCCTGCACCCGGTTCCGTTATCTTGCTGGAGAACGTGCGCTTCTATCTGGAGGAGGAGGGCAAGGGTGTCGATGCCAGCGGCGCCAAGGTGAAAGCCGATCCCGCCAAGGTCAAGGAGTTCCGCACCAGCCTGGCCAAGCTGGGCGATGTCTATGTGAACGACGCCTTTGGCACGGCGCATCGTGCCCACAGCTCCATGATGGGCGAGGGCTTTGAAAAACGTGCCGCCGGCTTGCTGCTCAATAAGGAGCTGAAATACTTCTCGCAGGCACTGGACAAGCCACCAAATCCCTTCCTGGCCATTCTGGGCGGCGCCAAGGTTGCCGACAAGATTCAGCTGATCGAGAATCTGCTGGACAAGGTCAATGAGATGATCATTGGCGGTGGCATGGCCTTCACCTTCCTGAAGGTCCTTAATAACATGAAGATCGGCGGCTCCCTGTTCGACGAGGAGGGCTCAAAGATCGTCCAGAAGCTGGTGGACAAGGCCAAGAAGAACAATGTTCAATTGCATTTGCCCGTCGATTTCGTCTGCGGCGACAAATTCGCCGAGAATGCTGCCGTGAGTGAGGCCACCGTGGAGGCGGGCATCCCGGACGGCCACATGGGCTTGGATGTGGGACCCAAGACGCGTGAGCTCTTCGCCGCGCCCATTGCGCGCGCCAAGCTGATTGTCTGGAACGGGTAAGTGAAACTGAACTTGGGAATCTTCCAAGAGATGTCTGATGATTCTCCTTCCTCGTAGACCACCCGGCGTCTTTGAGTTCCCCAACTTTGCGAACGGCACCAAAGCCATCATGGATGGCGTTGTGGCAGCCACCAAGAACGGCACCGTTTCCATCATCGGCGGCGGCGACACCGCCTCCTGCTGCGCCAAGTGGAACACCGAGGCGCTTGTCTCGCACGTCTCCACCGGCGGCGGCGCCTCCCTGGAGCTGCTCGAGGGCAAGACACTGCCGGGCGTTGCCGCCCTATCCAATGCCTAAGCGGCATCAGTAATTCATTATCCAACACACTAATCTCTCTGAATTAATTGTTAATGTTAATGTTGTCATTGCTGCGCCAGGCACCGTTTATCACGTAAGACCCCCAAACGTTCAATAATAAAGTGAATATATAAGTTAACTAGCTACACAAATAACTACCAAGTCCTCGATCCTCATTTAAGTAACATTGTTGGAAGAGAAATGTGCTAAACTGGAATTCGTATATAGATGAAATTGGAATTCCAATCAGCATCGCGATTTTCTAACTAGAAATGCGAGGTCCTAGTTGGAAAATCAATAAACAATTAAAACAGAGAGAGGGGAAAAATGAAAGGAAAGTAACTCAGGTCATATAAAAAAGATTTAAAAGACAAATAGAGTTTTCACCTTAGCGTTGAACACTTCAAATTAAACTATTCAGACTATTTAAAAAACTTAAGCTATTTATTTATAATCTTGAGTCGCATCTATAAGCTGAATACAAATTTACTTTATATAAATGCCGTAGAAGACGCATAAAGTACAACAATCAAGAATAAAAGAAATATTTAAGCTTACATTTAAAAATCTTGAATCGCATCTATAAGTTGAATACAGTACAAACTTACACTTAAATACTTTTGCTAGAATTATTTGCGAGCAAAGTTCGCGTCCATGGCGGCGGAGGTGCGCTGTATGTTGTTGAGATTGGAGCGGATGCGGTTGCCTATGGATGTCTGATTATCGATGGCCTTCTTGACCTCCTTGTTGATGAACTGTTGGTCAAAGTCGCGGGCCTGATTTAGTGCCTCCTCGCGCGCATATTCCTCACGATGCTTGTGCACGACCTTGGTGCGATCGGCCTCGCGCCACACAGCATTGTCCATCATCTCGCGCAGACGCGCCTCGCGCTCACTTTCGGTGAGCTTCGGTTTCGCTTTCTCTGGCTGACGGGGAGCAGGAGGAGGCGGAGCCATAGCTGGCTTGGGACTAGGTCGACGTCGCTCATTGCTGTGACTCCTCTGACGTTGGTCTCGACGTGGACTGCGACTTCGGCTGCGCCTGTGTCGATCTTCCGGTCTTCCGTTCTCTCGCTTTGTTCGGCTTCTGCTTCTCTCTGATCTTTTCTTTTCTCTGGCCTGTTTGTCTTTTCTCTTGTCCGCCTCCCGACTGCTGCTTCTTCCGCCTCTTGATTTACTCTCTTTGGCCTTTTCCGATCTCTCATTGCTTCGGCTACGTTTTGTTCTGCTCTCCTTCATCCGTTTCATTCGCTCGTCTGTTCTGCTGCTGCTTCTCTCGGCTCTTCGCTTCTTTTCTTTTGACTTTATTCTGTCATCTTCGCGGCTGTCGCTTCTTGCACCTCTTCCTCTACTCTCCTTGGACTTTTCTGATTCTTCATCTGCGCTGCTATCGCTTCGGCTACGTCTTGTGCTGCTCTCCTTGGTCTTTTTAGATCTCTCAGCTCCCCTGCCATCCTTATTCTTCTTAGTTCGCTCATCATTTCGACTATTACTTCTATTCCTTCTCTCTCTACTCTTCTTATTCTTTTTCGATCGTTCATCTGTGCTGCTGTCGCTTCGATCACGTCGTCCTCTGCTCTCCTTACTTGACTTTGTTCGATTATTTGAGCGACTGTCGTCTCTTCTTCTTGCCTTTTTATTTCGCTCATCAGCGCTCCTCTCACGTCTGTCTTTGCTTTCCTTGATCTTCTTCGATGGCGTCTCATCGTCGCTGCTATTACGTCTGCCTCGATTCTCTTTTGCTCGTCTTGTGTGCACCTCAGAATTTCTGCTGCGACTTCTACCGCGTCTTCCTCTGCCTGCCTTTGACTCCTCCTCCTCCTCCTCGCTGCTATCACTATCATCGCTGCTGCTGCTGCTACTCCTGCTGCGACGCTTCGATTTTTTCTTGCTCTTCTTCTGCTTTGTGGCCATATCCAGCTGTTTGGTCAACGTGCGGTACTTGGCATCCAGCAGTTTGTCCAGTTTAAAGTCCTCACTTGTGCTCTCACCTTTCAGCTTTTTCATTTGTTTGGCCAGCTTTCTGTCCAGATCCTCGTTGCTATCCTCGCTATCATCGCTGTCGTCCTTTTTGTTCTTCTTTTTCTTTGACTTTTTGCTCTTTTTGGACTTTTTGTTGCGCTTTGTAGCCAGTTCCTGCTCCGTTTTGAGTAAGCGATGGATTTCCTTTAATTTCACTGGATTTTCCAGCAGCTTGCGCCGCGATTCCATTTCTCTCTGTTTAATTAGCATCAGCGGATCCTCCATTGCTTTGCGCTGCATATCCACTTGCTCGGTGGATTGCATATTACGATATTCACGTATGGAGAAAGGCACACATTCGTGCTCCACATGGTTAATGGACTGCTTAACGCCCAGCGTGCTTTGCTCTTGTCGCTTCTCCTCCGCCTGCAGCTGATCAAATGATTTGTCTATTTTGCGACCCAGCAGATATTCCTCTCGATTGATTAACTCTGCGCTATCTGGAATTACTCGATGATTAGTGTTTGATTGCACTTAAGCAGACTATTTATATACTTTTATACATCCATTCGAGCTTAGCTTCGCCTCCATTGCTACTGTGTAATACGCCTGAATTCTCTCCTATGCGTCGCAGCTCTTCACGATCCCGTTCCTCATTGATCTCCTTGCGCAGATCATCCAGCTTGCGTTGCTCCTCTTGCTTTGCCTGTTCCGCTTTCCAAACTCGCTCCTGATTTTTCATCGTGTGCGGATGCCATGATTTTTTCAAGTTCTATTTGACACATAAATGTATGTATGAATAAATGAATTTTCAAAATATATAAGTTTAATTCTTATGAGTTCTTACCAAATCTCCGCCACCCATGTTGAGTTTGGCTTATGTTTATCTTTATCTTTATCTAAGCAAAATATACGTATAAAATCAAGCGTCCTTCCTTCTTATCTTTTTGCCAAACCATATGATAAGCAAGGTATGCAGGTCGAAATAGATTTTGTTGCGGGGCGGGTATGCAGCTCTTAGAATACATTTATTAGGAATTATGGTATATTTATGTTTTATAATATAAATAGTTAAAACCAGTGTATTTGTAAAGCTAATAATATAAAATGAAACCAGTTTCAGACGATTCATTCATATATTTTAATTATTTTACGAGTAATGTTGCTTTTGCCTGCAAGCAGCGATCAAACAGGTGCTCATAACAAAAACTTATCGACCGCCTCCATTATAGCAATGATTATCGATATATCTACGATAAACCAAAACTAAAAACTTAGCCGCCAACTAAAAGTTAGTGTGAATAAAATTTTTTATTAATATTCAATAAATTGATATGTATACTTATTGGCAAATACTTAATTACAATACCTAAAGAGTATGCATTTTATAGTAAGCACTTATCAGATGATCGGGATTAAAATGTGACATAACGGAATTTTTCCTTGACATTTTAAAATTAAATTTGTAGCCAGGAAATTTATATAAAAGTTTATATTGAAATGTTACAAACCTATCCTATACTTTCAAATTCAATAGTTAACCTATGGCATCATTCAAATAAACTTCTTAGCCATGGCACCGATCTACAAATCCAACGAAACCTTGCCGACAATGGGAAAGATAAAGATGATGGAAAGTTGCCGCAAAAGTTAAGCCTGCAGGATGTGGACGTGACCGGAAAACGAGTATTTATGCGCGTCGACTTCAACGTGCCCATGAAGGAAGGCAAGATCACAAACAATCAACGCATTATGGCGGCGCTACCCAGCATTAAATACTTGCTGGAGAAGAAATCGAGATCTGTGGTAGGGAATCCATGAAGTCTTCAAAATATTTCTCTTCTGATACTTTTCTATGATCCCAGGTGCTGGCTTCTCATTTGGGCCGTCCGGATGGTAAAAAGAATTTGAAATTCTCATTGAAACCCGTTGCCCAAGAATTGGAAAAGTTACTTAAACGCCAAGTAAGCTTCATTCCCGACTGTGTGGATGAATCGGCTTTAAAAACGATCAAGAATCCGCCAGAGGGTACTCTCATGTTACTCGAGAATCTGAGATTCTATGCGGAGGAAACGGGCAGCAGCAAAGACAAAAACAAAAAGAAAGTCAAAGCTGATCCGGCTAAGGTTAAAGCATTTCGCTCTAAATTGGCCAAATATGGCGATATATATGTGAACGACGCCTTCGGCACGGCCCATCGAGCACATAGCTCGATGATGGGCGAAGGCTATAAAGTGCGCGCTGCTGGATTTCTACTAGACAAGGAGCTGAAGTACTTTGCCAAGGCGCTGGACAACCCGAAGAGACCATTCATGGCCATTTTGGGCGGGGCCAAGATAGCCGACAAGATTCCATTGATTAACAATCTGCTGGATAAGGTCGATCAGATGATTGTGGGCGGCGGCATGGCGTTTACATTTCTGAAGGTCATGAAAAATATGGAAATTGGCAAATCGCTGTTCGATGAGAAGGGCGCCAAGATGATCAAAGATATTATGAAATCGGCCGCGAAGAAGAAAGTGAAAATTCTGCTGCCCGTCGATTTTCGCTGTGCCAAAAAGCTGGACAAGGGCTTCGGCGAGATCAAGAACATCGACGTAAAGCAAGGTGTGCCCAAGGATCAGATGGGCTTGGACATAGGCAATAAAACGATACAGCTATTTGGCTCGGCCGTTGTGGAGGCCAAGACGATTGTATGGAACGGCCCGCCCGGTCTCTTTGAGGACGATAAATTTGCCCTTGGCACCAAGGAATTGCTGGACGCCGTCATCTGTGCCACAAGGAGGGGCGCTACGACAATCGTGGGCGGTGGCGATACGGCCACAGCCTGCAAGAAATTCGGCGGCAGCGACAAAGTCTCGCATGTGTCCACCGGCGGAGGGGCGGCTCTGGAGCTGTTGGAGGGCAAGAAACTGCCAGGCGTGGCGGCATTATCAAATGCCAAGAAGTGAACGGTCGTCAATTATAAATTTCAGAATTTTAACTACAGACGTTAAATTGATATGTAATTTTGCTTCAGATACATTACTGCCTCGCTCTCGCTGAAAGAAAATTTATATTGAAAATTCGTAATTACCAGAATAGAAGAAACTAATGTTAACATATGGATACCTTTTGGACAGTCATTAAAAAAATTATGCATTCCCTGTTTTTCAATGCTTGGGAATTGTGGATATAAAATAAATTAGATTTTTGATTAACCATATAATTTATTTATTTTAAAATTGATTTTGGCTGTTAACGCCTGTTCAACATAAAGTCCGCTCCCTGTTTTATAATTGGGAATCATGGATTAAATCCATTGTCGATACATATTTTTCTTTTTGGCTAATTGAAACGCTGGAATGAAAGTTTCTACAAATTGTTCATAAAATAAATACGATTGACAACGAATGGAACTGAGATTTTAAAAGATTAGATAATACAAACATAACTCTGTTCATTTTGGTTGTCGATTACACTTGATAAATAATATAATAAGTCTACAGCATCAACCTTTCTCCGATTCTCTTCTTAATACAATCAAAGTTGTGTGTCTGCAATGTTTTTTTTTCTTTTTCTTTTTATATTGGATCCATAACAATGCTGGTTTAATCGAAGCTGATCAGCTCTGCAGTCGCGGGCTCGGGAGCTTTGGTCGGGGCAGCTGGTTCGGGCTCGTTCTGGGGTGGAGCAGGCGCAGCGGCTACAGCCTGAACTTGTGTGTTCGCTAGCTCCATTGCAGCAGCGGTCGGTGGTGGAGGTGCTACTGCTGCTGCTGCTGCTTGGGGTGGTGGTGGTGCCTGTTGCGGTGGCAGTTGGGTATTTGGAATTGGCGGATGGGATTGAACAATTTGCTGCTGTTGCAGCATAACATGAGCCAGATGTGGTTGCGGTTGTGCTTGGGGCTGGGCAATGGGCTGAGGTTGTTGCTGCGGTTGGGGTTGGCCTGGTATTTGCTGCGGCTGTGGCTGGCCTGGTATTTGCGGTGGCTGCTGCTGTTGTGGAGGCATCTGCGACATCATGGCCTGGTTCGGATTGGCGTATGCATTTTCGGGTAGTGGCTGCTGTTGTGGCATCATACTGCCAGGTGGCGGCATCATCATGCCCTGAGCTGGCGGTGGCTGTGCCATGGCGGGATTGTACATGCCTGGCGGCGGAATGCCGCCTGCGAACTGACCATTGGGTGGTGCATAGCCGGGTGCAGCTACATAGGGATTATAAACGTTGTTCAACTGATGCGAGGGCGAACCGTGTGGAGCCACTGCGGAGGGTGGCAGATAGGGAAAGGGCGAAGATTGTCCCATCAAATATTGGGCCTTCTGTTGCTCCTGGCGTAGTTGCATTTCGCGTTCCTGTTCCTGGATGCGTTGCAACGCGAGCTGGCGTTGGTATTGCAAATATTCCTGCTTCTTCTTGCGCATAATCTCCAGCTTTTGGGCCATTTGCAGTTGACGCTGTCGCTCCTGTTCCTCGGCAATGCGACGCAGCTTCTCCACATGCTCCTGTCGCAGCACATCGAGCGCTGCACGCGAATCCTTAATCTGGGCCAGCTTATCCTGCAGCTGCTCGTACCACATACGTTTGTCGTCCATTTCCTTGATGTAGGTCAGCTGCTGTGAGTGCAGCGAAGTGAGCGTCATGAACAGAGTTTGCACCGAGGAGTCATTGGAGATGCTGCGTCCACGGCTCGAATTCGACTTCATGCGATTAACAAAGATCTCCACCTGCGTGCGCATATTGGCAGCAAATTCATCAATTTGCACCTCGTCGGCGTTCTTTGCCAAGGGCAATGTTTGTAGCAGCTGTTGCTGCTGTGGCTGTGGAGTGGGCGGCATCGGACTGGGTGCCGAGGGACTGGCCATCGATGAGGATTCGCTGATTTTGCGCTGCTCCCAATAGCTGCGATTCAAATATTTGGCCAACTCTGGATTGCTTTCCTCCTGCTGCTGCTGCTGGGCTGGCAGCTGCTGCTGTATTGGCTCTGGACTTGGCGAACGCTGCTGCAGGCGATAGCTGGCGACCGATGTTGGCTGCTTTTTATGCTCCGCCTCGGATTGACTAAGTGCCAAGGCCAGTTGCAGTTCCTCCTCCTCTTTCAGCTCTTGCTCGCTTTTGCGCGCAGGCGTCTTTGAAGATAAATAAATAAATCAGAGATTTAGTTTATTTTGCTGCTTAGGCAATCCCAAGAAACCAACCTGAACCTGCTGAGAGAGCGAGCTATTCAGATATTCCGCTGGCAAATCGCTGTCCGTCGAACCACGCGCACTCGACTTGGTGCCCGCAGGACGCTGCAGTGCCATAAAGCAGCCATCGCACACACGCACATCCTTCTCAATGCCGTATTTGGGCAGCGGACACTGCTTGGCCGTGCACTGGCCGCAGAACACCTGGCCACAGTTGCGACAGTGATGCTTGCGATTGGTGAACGTGAACTCCACGCGACAGCGATGGCACACCCTGCCATCGGCCCAGTTGGGTGCCGTGTCGGCGGTAAACATCGCATCCGCTTCCTTTAGCTCTGGAAATGTGTGTCCCTTGGCCTTCAGTATGGTCATAGTATCCTGTGCAAATGGAAGTAAATTTTTTTTGGTCTATCGGTTTTCTGATTTTCTTACATTTCAAAATAGAGTAATACGAAAAAGAGTAAAATATTTTAAGTTTGCTGAACTTCAATAGAACGATTGTGTAAGAGGCGATGTTATACAGTCAAATAAACTATGTCAGGTCTGAGACAGGTCACAAGCATTTTCAATTCCCCAAACCCAAATCTCACCTTAATTGCCTGATATTTGTCCGACGAGCGAAATGCATAGGCCCATGTCTGCACAAGCTCCAGCATTTTCTGCCGCACATTCTCATGTGGCGTTTGCTCTAGGAAGCTGCTAAACATCTCGCAGTTCTCCTTGGTGAAGACCTCTTCGTGCACGGGTGCGCCACAGTTCTTGACAATGCTCTCAAGCACCAGCAGCGAATAGCATGCCGAGTGTGGATTTGGTGAATTCATTTTCTTCTTAATTGCAGCAAAGGCATTTTTTGGTCTGAAATGTAGAATAAAGAAAATTAGCCAAGTTTCTCTCTTGCTCCATATTCGTGGCACCTACGTGACGTCTTTTTGATTGATTTCATCGCAAATAAGCAGAATTGAGGGCCAGTCTGGCTCCAGACGCAAGTGGCTGGTCGCATTCTCTGTGAAAGACCGAAAATATATGTAATCAGTCGTTAATTCTTGCACATCATATATGCGTTCTAAGTTCATTTCCCTTTTTTGTTATACTTTTTCTTTGCATTATTTTTTTTTTTCGATGAGTCACTTTTTGTTGCACTATCTTTCAGCTTAATTTACTGTCATTTATACTGCGTCACTTACCCAGATTTTTGTCAAAACTAGAGCGAAACATTTTGTTGTTTAAAAAATACTATAATTGGCTAAAGAAAACTTGTATTTTCAAGCGCTAATGAGTTTTATTTATTTATTTCGTGCTCCGCTGCCTTAAGTGCTGGCTGCTGATTTTGTTACGAGTGATGAGCTGGTTATGCGATATACTATCGAGTAAACATCGATATATACAGTGTCCATTGATTAGGGGTGCATAAAAGCTTTGGCAATGGCGCGCGATAATATTGATATTCAAATATCAGCTCCGAAGTTCAAGGTTTTGATCAGATAATGTCTCGTCATTCTGATTATTTTCAATTTAATTAAATTCAATTATTGGCATTGCTATTCAAGTTCATTATCAATAAGATTAAAAGTTGTTATATTCATTCATTTTTTACTTGTCCATTTTATTCGAATTTATTTCTTAAAACGACTTAATTAGTTATTTAAATGATATATATACATATGTATAGTGCCTATATGCATATGAGAAATATATAACCGTATAAAATATACATATTCGCTATTACTATTATTACTACTATTATTATTATTATTTTTTTTTTTTTACATATTTTACATGTAGTACAGCAACAAGTAGAATTAGTTAAAGTATCACACGCCGATTTAAAATGGTTGTTCACTTGAGCTAAGCGATAAGTAACATAAAATCACATTTAATTTATATTAAGCTCAAAATACTAGGCCACTAATGAAAACCAAATCAAACTGATTTGAGCTTATGCTTCAGCGTAAAATAGGCCAATATCTTGAACAACGTTATGTGGCCCAAGATCATCATGATGTTATAGCCAAAGTCGCCCTGTTCCATGCCAAACTGACGCAGCACCGTAATCGCATTTCTGTCAAGGAAAATCTTTATAAGTAAATATGTCTTTTGAAACACGAGCTTAAAACATACTTGAAATGACAGTAGAATTCGGTGGGTGGACACTCTAGCTTATCGCGCTGATTCCCATATAATGATACAACCATATTCTCTAGAGCATATCGCATTGGCGAAAGAGCAGCTATGAATCGTAAGGCTGCGGGTATGTGATTCAGCAGGATCAGGAAGCCCGAAAACATGAGCATAAAACATGTCGAAACAGCTCCAACAAATGTGCCATTCTGCGAGAAGAGAAAGCATATATTAACACATATTATCAGATGATATATATGGTTCTATCTTACCACCGGGTTAAGTAAGGTGCCCAGGAACACGCCCAAGCCATCTGCGCAGATAGTTACGACAACAGCAGTTAGCAAATATTTTACAAAGCGATCTAATTCAACTGGCTGATCGGTCATCAGATATCCAATGGTTATATAGACTGTCGAGAAGATTATCTGCAAGTGCATGGAATATTAGATATAGGAAAAATCAGAGCCATAATCTGATTTGATCAGATATAAGCTTACATGGACTGGCGTGGATGTTATCAAGGTGGCCACATAGTAGGTTCTCAGTTTGTACCAATTGTTGAATGTTTCCTTTTTGATTATCTCAATTTCCAGGGGATCTATAAACAATGTATTTTATTATAAACATAGAGGAACTATATTTGATTACACTTACAGCGCAAGATGCCAGGCATTATAGTCGTATACCAGAGATAGACACAGTGTATCATAATCATGCCCACATTTGATATTTGCTTCGTCGCATTAATGCCGGAATCGCCAAAGAATAGTCCAATCATAACGGCACTCAGAATATGCATGCCCAGCTTCAGATATGTCAAAGTCTAGTAAAAATAACAAGTAAATTAAATTTAAATTAATTATAATGGCCCATTTAAAAATAAACATTTACATATATAGTCCAACAATAACAAATCATTAAAAGCTGCCGTATAATTATGGGTAGAGGGCAGCTACCTATGTATGTTTGATCTTCATGTCCAGCCCGCC